GTTTTTGTTTGATAATAAATGATAGTAAAGAAGCATGTATTGCTAGTTAGAGTTTTAATTATACAACCTAAACAAACCGTAGGGAAATTTTTGAACTTGAATCAATTTTATCCCAATCGTCACCTATCGAGAGACATCAGTTGTGGACAATATTTTAACTTATCGTTTGAAAAAGTTTAAATTTAAATAAGACTGAACGCATCAGACAAAAGATTAACGACATGGTTCACAAATTGAAAAGCTTACTGGAAAATTATCAACAAAAGTGAAGGTTTTATAAAAAATGAGTCCGTTATTTTTGTCAATATCTGTTACTCTGATTAGAGTTCCTTTTGTTACTTTGAATCTCTAATAAATTAATTATTTAAATTAAATGGACGGAGCAAGACAAACATATATTTGCATGAATTATTCATTTAAATTCATGACAGTTCAATTATAACAACGTTTAAATAGAAAAATTTTTATAAATTGGATCACAAAATCCTCATTTGATTTTTTTCTTCAGGAGCAAGAATGCAACTCTTTTTCTAATGAACGGAATTCGTTATTCTTGGTTTGTTTTGATCCATTAATCCTCCAAATTAAAATACCATAAATTTTGAAAAAAATGAACAAAAGGATTTTTTTCAAAACATTCTTATAAATGATTAAGAAACGTATGGATGAACGCTGTTGTGGCTTTTTCTCAATGTTAAAATACTTGAGACTATCTAAATACGTAAGAAATAGTAATTTGAACAATCCTTCTTACTTTTTCAATAAAGTTTTATTACAATAGGTATCAATGAATAATGAAAAACTGTCATCAATAGGACTTACTTCTATAAAGCAATTACCCGGTTACACAGTAACTACTGTACCTTCCAACTGGAACATACCAGATGACCGGTAAGTTTCTTCTTGTTGTTTCAGCAGTATATCATTTACAATCAATGTATCAATAAGGTTTAATACAATCCAAATTTTAGGAATTCTCGAGTGGTAGAAGTAGCAGATACATTTATTGGCTCGAACAGACCATCCTCTCCTCATAATGGTTGAAATTTTAGATATACTAAATCTGTGAAGATTTCATTCTATTCTAGCTGAGAAAACCAGTCATTGATTTTTTTCAGGAATTGTGTAACGCTGTACAAATCACTAGACTTAAACGTTAAGGTTAAATCATGCATTTTATCAAAATTTTCATATTTCCTAGATTTAGACACATATTTACAACGTTTTTATGGACGGATCACAATCGAAGAAGTACTGGATTCTATCTTTCAGCGTACAAAGCCATCATCAACAAGGCATAAAATAAGGTTATCATTTACCTTGTTTGTTCGTCAAGATGAATTCGTATAGAGTGTAACTATTATTAACTAAATCATAAGAAAATCGACAACCATTAATAGCGTCGTTCCATGGTTGTTTAATGGGTGCTTGAAATCTTTGGATAGATATTTGTTAGTTTTATTATCTTTCTGAGCTCATCATGTTTGTATCCTAGCTGTTTCTCAATTGATGACATCTGACTTTTATAATTTCATCTTTTTCCAACATATAAATAAATCCTTCTTCCAAAATGTCATTCTCATTTTCCTTCTCGTTATTTTAACATATATGGATAATTCTTTTTATTTTTACTTCAGTCTCTCGGAAGGTAAAATTAATGAAGATGGGCAAGTGCAAAAGTCCGGAATTTATGTCAAAAGCAATGAACTAATGCAGCAGCTTGTGCAAGATCCATATGAAGCTGAAGCTCTTCTCCAGGTCTCAGAATAACATAAATTAATTATGGAATAATTAGTCTCACATTCTCTGACCTGTCTTAATTTGCCTCTAATCAGAAAACAACTTTAAGTGAAATGTAAGGAAGAGAATGGCTTGCAGCCTCAAGGGGAGACTACTTCAAGTTTGTTAATAATTATTCCCGATCGTGTAGCTAGCATTACCAAACAATGAAAAAAAAAAAAAGAAAAAAAACACAATCTTTGGATATTTTCTACGATAGGAGAAAAATTTGAAGTTTTTTGGATTAAACTGCCCTCTCTAAATATTCAACTTCACGAAAATGGACCGTTGAAGAATGAACGACTATATGTACGGTGTGCACAATGCCATCAGACGAGAGAACTGGCGGAAGCTCGAATGCAGTACATATCATGCAAGCATTGCTACACATATTACTGTAGTCGTCAGTGTCGCGAGTACGACTGGTCAAAACATCGTGAAGTATGTTCCTTTTCGAGGATTAATACTCTATGCAAGAAAGTTATCATGAAGGTAAGTAACAGTTATTTTTTTCTTAAATATGCAGGTCTTATGAATTGCTAACTAGTTTAATATGACATGCTTTCATAATGATCATTTCATTTCCGAGGTTTATGCATTAGATTAGACTGTCGCATAATGATGAGAATCAGCCATATAAAAGTACAGAACAAATATGATCTTTTTAAGGTGCGCAAAGATTCAGAAACTCAGTTTTACATGTCAAAGATAGCACGTGATGGTTACTCAGCACTCGGTCGTGGTTCTGTTAATTTAAGAATAAATTCGACTCACACTGCACAAAATTATATTATGGATGGTTGGTCAGCAATAGCAAATTTTCAACTCAACAAATTACTCCATTATTATACCATTGCAGCATTGATTGCAGAACGAAAAGAGCCATCGTTAATTACTCTGTGTCGTCAATATGATCCAACGTTAGTTAAATCTTTTTAATTAGTTGTTTAAATAATTTAGTGAAACTGGTAAGATTCCTAACTGAGTCAAAGTATAATGAGTTAAAAAAGAGGAGAGAAGGAATGAAGAATATTTGATATTTCTCAGTGCAGATCTTCTAAAATACATTGAAAAAAAAATTCATCGGAAATATAACGTATTTCATCATTGCAGTGATAAATTCATCCTCAGTGTTAGTATCATTGCTGATATTGAGCAGTGTCCCCAAACACCACCACCTGAGCCAGTGGTCATCCGGAGTACTTTGCCACAATCGCAAAACGCACGACAATCATCTCTCTGTCCTCAACAATCTGCTGAGCAAAATTTTATACAATCTGATGTGTTCCGTTCCGCAGTACCGACGGAAGTTTAGCAAGATACACACAAGTGTACACAATACTTGAGTAGACGACAGATCCTGGCGTCCTTGTTTATAGATCTAAAGGAGATGAAAAGAGCCGATCTCACTGTATTCTGCTTACCGGTCATAACTGATAACAACCTTAAATACCAATAACTCTTGAAATGCTCATTTACAATTCTTAAGTTATAATTCACTTTTATTTATTATTTCATTTAGTTCGAATTCAAGCCTAACATTGTTATCTTTACATATTTGAAGTTACCTTCACTTTTGATTAAATATGATGCATAAGTGTTTGTTTAGTCTATCTACTCTTCCTCTACAGTATCTTTGTCGTTGTGAAATGCAAAAAGGACTTATTTTGAACTTACTTCCACATGAGATATTAATATGATCAATTTGAAGGAAACGCTTTCACTGGAATTTAAATTGAATACTTCTGACCAATACGCACTCAATTATTCATGAAGCAATACTAGAAAAGTTTGAGGACTCCATTAGTTGTTATCTATTTCGAATCCCATTTTTAAAACAAACTGGAGGTGACTGATAAGTTTATACTTCTAAATCTGCTTTCACCTTATAAATGAACGAAAACGTTAATTTGTAAAACTTTTGGTTAATACTATTTCCCCGATGAGACAGTCGACTTTTGATCATTGCCGCTTCTGCTAACAGATGTACACGAATTTTGGTATTCAATGTAATAATTATCTCAAAATATACCCTACAAGCTTTATCACAATTTCTACGAACATTTTTTAATCCGTAAATCTTATCAGTGCTGTCTTGACTTATGCCCATATTATTCATTAATAAAACTTTTTCACCATACGATTATCAGAAATTTTAGGAGAAATTATCAAACCTATTGTCGATCATACAGACGAACGCATTGAGCAGAGTCTGTCGCAGACTTTTCGTTAACAACCATCACACACAATTTTTAATCTATAACAACCACATACTGATGATAATTTTGTAAGACTTAAAGGTTACGAATATAAGATGAAGAGGAAGAAGTAAACTGATGCGAACTTAAGAATTTAAATGAATCGAATTAAATGAGCGCAAAACTGCGACTGAACCGTAGCTTGCTGATATTAGAAAACTGACTCAAGTGAAGAGTTTAAACCTTGTACAGCGGGCATTGGTTTAAAATGCGCACAATTATAATAAATAAAGAGGTACTAGATGACTTTTACTCTTTGTAAAATGAGAGATGGAATTTAGCGTTAAATCAATTACTCATAAAGCGATCAAAGTTTCTAGTTGGATTGGAGATAACACTTCGCAAGATGATTTAGTACAAAGGGGTAATTTTTAACACGATGCACATAATCTTTGTTAACCATAGAAAAATCTTAGAAATGCAGATAAGCTCAGCCACAACTGGAACATGAGTATTAGATAAATGACTGCTTGCATATAATTTGAAAGTTTTATATTTCTCTAAAAAATATTCAATTAAGACAATCTTTAATCCCATAAATTAATACAATTTTATTTCATGATATTATAATTCGGTTTTCCCGGCCTATTATCATTAAGCAGGCAACAAATCAAAAACCGACCAAAAAAAATATCAAACAAGTCAACAAACGTCAGTAACAAATTTTTTAACTTTTAATTTCTGCGACAAACTTTTTTTTTTTTTTTTTTTTTTTAATTCACATCTCTTCCAGAACAAATGTGTATAAATAATATGAGAACACACTTTCATCAACAGAAACTTATAAAGCTTAAAATGAGATCAAATGTTCTAAAAGCCCCGAAAATTCAAACTCCTTAAAAACTTCAAAAATCTTAAAATACAAATTTATGAAAAATTTTGAATCATAGATTAATTTATCCTTGTAACTGAAACATTTCACGAAATTCCAAGAAAGATGAATTCCCTGCAAAGTGAAAAGAATTAAGCAGTATCATAATCTTCATCATCTTCATCCTTCGACAGCAGTTCGCTAAGTGATCGTTGTAGTCCTCTATTTTCTTGTTGAAGTCGATTCATTTCCGCTGCTTCCGCTTCAAGTTGTTCCTGACGAGCCTAAACAAGTACCTTTTAATACATTTTAATCAATCTATTAATCAAATCCTACCTATTAAAATGAAATGAAATAACAAACCATTCTAAAAGTGATACATCACCTCTCCAGTGAATGTAATCTGAAACATAAAACTGGAAAATTTTCCCGGAAGACAGCCATAAATCTCTCGTCAGTGTACTTCTGCACATTTTCATTAGGAACATCTCGAAACAGGAAAATAAAAGCTTTACACCTTTTCAATAAGCTCCTGTTGCATCAAATATAACTGATCTTCCGGAATACCACATTTATCCAGTCGTGAATTTTTTCGTTTTAATTTATTTTCCGCTGCTATTTTACACTCACTAAGCACACTGTCCGCTGCTTCAACATAATCATATGGGAAAGCCAAATTTATTAGAGCTGAAAAAAGTAATAACAAAGGAGAAATTATATTATGACATTTACAAGATGTCAGAGATTTTACAAGTATAAGAAGAAAAATTAATGAAATATTAACCCGGAACGATACTTCCAACACGGACGGTAATCGACTTCTAGCTTATATAGTTTCAGCAATATAACCTTTATGAAGTGAGAAGATAAAAAATTGAAGTTTAAAGTATACTTGGGAGAAATTTCTTTTACTATAAAATAAGATTCGAAAACCAAGAATGAAGTGATGAAAATTATGGAGCATTTTTGAAATAAATATTTTCTTCCTTCCCGAGTTTTCCATTGGAATTTTCACAAATTTTGATCTCATGATTATGTATGCATTCAAATAAATTTCGAGAATGGTTTATTTAGCATATAAATAAATGCAAATCTAACTATTTGAAGAGCTGCATCGTAGGAAATAGATTCATCCATTCTTTTTACGATTTTTAGTCTAGATAAGCTTATAGAGTGATTTCACTTTAATACAATAAAAGCGTAGTCAACCTTTTTTGACACATTTTGAGTAGACAAAGAGACCAATAATTTCTAGCTAAATTTCGAAAATTTCCTTCCTAACTTTTAAACAGCTTCCACTTTTATAAAAAAAAAAAAAAAAAAAAAAAAAAAAAAGAAAAAAAAAAAAAACTAAAAAAATAAAGCATAAGACTGAATATGTAATCTAAATAAAAAAAGGAGAAAAGCCATTAAAATCAAGAAGAAACTTCAGATTCAACCAATCACCATATTCCCATCCACATAAAATAAACATCACTAACCTTTTTGCACATGTTCATGATATATAGTTTTGCGCTGATCATCTGCCGAAATACGCTGCGCCTCCCGTGATATATGTCTAACAAACTCCACACAACAAGCATTCAGCAGTTCACGCGATTCATTGGCCACTCTCATCTCCGGTATCACATCTTTGATAATCATATTGAGACCCTTTTGAGGAAGACCAACTTCGTTATCTTCATCACCCATTGCCTGCAAAATCTGATTGATTAGCAAATTTTTCAAAAAATGCCCGAAAATCAGTAAGTTTCATTTTTGCAGTTACGCATTTCAATTTAATAAACAAAAATTATAAAGTCGAAATTTTTCTCTTCCAAAATGTATTTTTATACCATAACTCCATTCATATTTCTTTTTCATCTAAAGTCACAACCAAAACAGTGGAATAATGTGTTGGTTACAACTGAATACAATTGAAATCAGTAAAGTTCACTATTTATGTACATATTATTCATTTTCAAGAGATAGCATAGGAATATGGACACAGAAAATATGGATGTGTTCCGATTGACAGAAAATAAAATATAAATACAGAATTCTTCTGTTTTTAAATAAGATGCCTATCTTGTGGAAGAGTACAACGTTTAAAACAAAACTGCCGAGCTTTTTTTCAAGAAAAAAGGTTAAGTAAAACTAAATAACCAAGAAGCATGTACTGCAAATATTTATTTCAACAAAGTGACACAATAGTTGAAAAAGTTAAGCAGTCAAGCAGCTACTGAAACATGTATCCAGCCAGGTAAAACTCATATGTCGTTATTCTATCTCAAATGATATGCTAGTGAAAGAATCCCATGAACTTCATGAACATATTAATCAACACGACCTTCTATTGCTTCACCCAATTAATGCCTATGCTTTCACTATATTGATTTTTTTCATCTAAGGCTATTCCATTCTTTTTATGAACCGATATACCACAAGCGACTTATATAAATTATGCGATGATGTAAATTAATTATTCAATTTTGACTTCGTATACAAGTATAGATTTCTAATTTAGTAAAAACAGCAGCAGTTTCATAAACATTTTTTTTTCTAAAATCGAGAGACAATATAAAAAGTGCTACTTTATCATTGTGATATGGTCAACAATCAATTGTTTTAATGCACTCATCACATACTTAAAATCTAAAATTTAACATTTACACTCAGACAAACATAACTAGTATTTTACAGACATTAACTTTTACTTCATTATAGTGTAGGTTAAGTGAACTAGTTCAAAGAACTGTGTAAAGATAATTGACTGATATGGATTATATTTTTTAAATGATAGTACTTATTTGATCACTTCATAAAAATATAAACCAAAGTTCGCAATACAGAATAAAACGTTGAAATGCGGAATGAGATGACTATTTACATATGTTATATTTTATACGAATATATTTTTGTTATATATTTTTTCATAGTTATATTTTATACGAATATATTTTTGTTATATATTTTTTCATACATTAGCTAGAAAATTATATAAAATTAGAAGCATAGATGCAACTAAAAAATACTAACTGACGGCATATAAATAACTTAAGAAAAACAAAAACAGAAATTTCTCCAACCTTTCAATAAATTCATCTTATATTCCGTAAATATTAGTATCAACATCATTATTATCCTCTCACTGTTACTAACTAACATTATCATCAGCATTAACACCAAGACCACTATCGGGATCTTACTGCCATGAAATACAAAGTCTCGCAATCATCACCATTTCTCTTTAAAATCATTCACTAGTTCTCAAAACGGAAAAATTCACAACCTGTTGAAAGGATTAAAACTATGAACAAAACAGGATTTGAAGATGTTCACTTGAAAAGAAAAAAGAATCACAGAAACTTGCACAAACTTCCGATCATAAAAGAGCTTCTGGAGTAGACAAATATAAGTTGTAACCAGTTGCTGGAAAAAGAAACTCAACAAATCCAAGTAATCTTGTATCGCATCACTGTGCTGTACCGAAATATGTCCGCAATTAGCTAAATATCAAAAGCATCCATAACTTATACAATTGACCGCAGGTTAAAAAAGATGAAAAACTTGATAAACATCAACTGCACTTAAATAATTGCTAAAAAAGTTTGACGAATATAATTTATACGCTACGTTAATTACCTCTCACAAATCACAGCACCCTTTACACTTGAAAGAAAATTCCGTGAAAATGACAATTTTTCTTTCTCTACATAAAAGCCAGTCAGTATTCATTTTACTTGTGTTTTAGACTTCTAGATCACTGTTAGTTCCATCCTCACTTTGTCAGCAGCCATAAAAAAGGAACTCCATCGCTTGCCTTTAACAGCACAGAAATTCAGTTATGTATCCTAGCTATACAAGTCAGATATATCTTCACATCCAATTGCCTAACGTCCATCCTTAATTCCTTCTTTCGATGATTTTGCTCCTGTAAAGCCTGAGTCCAAAGTTTACAAAGTCTGCACTCAAGGTGATCTGAGAAATATCGAAACAAGGGATTTCATTTCTTGAAGTTCAGGAGATCTCCTTTCCGGTTTTCCTAAATATTAGAAAAGCAGAAAACAGATTTAGTCAATCAATGCTAGGAAAAGAACATTTCAGGTAAGGACGAAACTAATCGATTTTGTCAGACCAGATAGAAATACGAAAATTTATGTTATATTATATAAACATGATAATATAATACAGCATGAAATATTTATAAGCAATAAAATTTACAGGATTTCAAAACAAACTTATACCAAAATATGCACATAGATAGCTACCTGAACAAAACCGTCTTCCACCATATACAACTACAAATTACGGACCCCTTAGGAAGATAAAGAAGCATGAATGAATAAATCGGAGGCAACGCATCCATTTTTCATTTGTTTGAATAAGATACATCATTCAGAGGATAAGCAATACCTTTTGTTCTAAACCGAATTATAATGCACATGGCACGGATCTCCACTGCTCTCTCAAAGTCTCAACAGTTATGAATAAAATGATATCAATTTCAGTTATACATTTATAAACTTAGAGAACCTTAAAACTGCGTAAAATATGGGATCATAGTGCGCCTACAATAGAAGATATACGTAATTATATTCATTCAACAATAGGCCTTCACATTTATCAACAATAAAGTTTCTGTTGAAAATATTTGAAAAAATTATATGCTTTAGATTAGAAAATGAACTACAAATATGTCTTTTAAATTCGTGATAATGGCAGTGATATTTTTCAATTTTTATATGAAATTCAGGATCTGAATCGAAATACTTTGCCATGCTTCCTAACACTTCTTTTTCTTCTTTGAACTAGAAAAGCTTAACCACCATGGCAAATATGATCTGAGAACAGTTTAGACTAACATAATATTTCCTGACAGAAACTTTAAAGTAGAACTGTTTGACATCAAAGACAACTTCTCTTACAGTTTCTGATCATAGAAATGAGAACCGAACTTTGGAATTCCAAGAAATGGTGTGTCATTGGGTTGTTCCATTCACTACAGAACTCAGAAAACCAATTTTTTATACATCAAGTGCATATGAATATAACACTAACAATACAACCAAAGCGGTCATTAAGATACAGCATAGCTGAGTAATGTGAGATCGCAAACGGCATAGATGTGTTCAACAAGTCTTGAAATAACATGCCTGAAAATTCTGACAACTTTGACCTGCGCAATGGGAACAACAATGTACTGTTCAATCGCTTTTTAGGGTCAATACGAACTTTTTGAGTGCAGCACTCATATAATTATTCATGCCGATATCATCAAGTGATATCACAGTTCCAATTCCACCAAATATTGTTATCATATTATTTTGAACACACTTAAAAAAGTAACATTTTCATAGTGAATGATAATACTCGGGTGAATAATAATGTACATATCTTTTTAAATCTTAGAACCAACAGATCATTTAACTTCAAGCAAACAGAGATCGAAAATGTCTCTATATTCATCAACTTCTATTTATTACTGAAATAACCATTTGAATATTTCACAAAGAAACACATGATGGCGAAAGAACTGTCTTTAAGGATGCCAAAAGACACAATACTTTATGACGAATAAATAAATAAATTACGTAACATAACGATTTTGATAACATAGCAATCATGTATTCTCCTCCTATTGTTACAATGCCAAATTAAAAACGAATTTTCAGCTCGCAAATTAAAATCAATATTTGTGATATATAATGCAAAGGATGCATGATATCGGATCAAGAGTTGTTTGCTCTAAAAGTTTACTAAAAAACATGAAAAAACTAGTACAAATCTCACTAGAACAGATTGCTCGCTGTCTATAGGAGTAATCGCCAGAAAAGACTTGTATGTCTTCACTTTAAACAGTACAATTCTTTTTTAATACCTGTACCTTCAATCCTTGAATGGCACGCTTCTAAAACTTCATAGGAATAATATCTTTCTATCAATTTCTTCCTTTTATGTCCTCTTGGTTCTTTCTATGCACGCATTTTTCTTCTTGATAGTATAAATAACACAACCTCACATTTGAAATAATTAAAGCTGACCAAATGGTTAGTGACATAATTTTTCTCTAGCAACGGAATAAAAACAAAACTCAAAAGATTAAATTAATCAGAAAAGTCGAGTAAGAATAATAAAGATGAAAGAATTTGTACACTAATAACAGAATGAACCGCTAATTATATGGTTAAATCATAAGGTAGTTATGATTAACAGAAAAAGGAAAAATCGACTGGAATTGGAAAGGGAATAAAATCACTTTACAGTCAACAGAGGAAACTGAGCACGTCAGTTACACTGTCTGAATCATTATCGGTTGACTTAATCCAATGGTTAATAAAGTAATGAAGTAACAATGCATATAATTTACTGCCAGTGCACTATGTACATTAACAAGTGAGTGTTTTAAATGATAAATTCCTGATTTAAAACAGCGACCCAAATCTAACCACCAAATCTACCTACTTACGCTACTGCAGCAACTCAATTATCTCAACAATATTTCATGTTATAACTGAATTTCTCACCGACCTTGCCAGCACTTCTTCAAAATTACTGCGACAACTGATTATCGTTACTGCCGGATGTGGAAGTTCCAGCAGAAGTTAGAGGGCCGCATTCTTGAAGTGCTACTCTGAAAGTAAGTGTGATGAATTTCAACACCATTTACACCATGCATGAGTGCCCGAAGTTATGCATCATTAAGTCAGATTATAATATAAAATGACAGGGATCAGGATCCAGAAAGACTGATCTTTTTAAGTAGTTTAGCTCATAAATCGATCCGCCGAAAAATAATAAAACATCGAAAAATAGTAAAACAGATTGCGATTATTGAGAGAGTAAGTCTTCTTTCAATTCTGAATCCAAAAGACTCTCAATGAATTTAGACAAACATTATGGAAGTGTAAAAACCCTAAAACGATTTCTCATCTCATCCCTTGACGATGGAAATACTGGTTAAAAGATCAATATACAACAGGAAACATGGAGGAGAATAATAAGTAGTTGACATATGAATCGTTTTGATAATAGAAGCATAATAGCAGGAGATATATCTCGAACTTATCATTATGATCTCTCTGTTTCAATCCTCTTTTTCCGCTCTTCAGAAAAGACCATGACTGTAGTACACTACAAGCACTCATTTCATAAAATTCGAAACGCTAACATTAATAAAAAACAGAAGTTTGCGTTTGAAGCGAATAGATAATATATGAATCGCTTGATAATAAAGAAATGTAATAGCAACTGACATACCTCAACACGACCTTGACTCATCAATTATCAATAAGAAGTGGTACTTAGACGTTCCTTCCAACGGACATGTTCAGCAACAAAAAGAAAATAATTCCAATTCTTCTTAGTATCCCTACAAATTCACTATGATATGAGCAGCGCATGACCTACCAATGAAATGAGGAGCAGATCCGGTACTAATTAAACTAAATAAATATAAATTACAGAAAAATTGAACTACACCAACTTTGGTTGGTGACAAAGGTGCGAATAGCGCTAATCATTTTACCTTACCTCGAGCATTTCGAACGCATCTTGACATGACTGTATCACTGCAACACTTTCTCTTCCTCTCACTCTCTCTTTCTCTCTTTATTCAATCTTCTACATTTCGTACTTCGTATTCCGTGAACTGTTGTCACCAAATTAAAATCATTGCTCAGGTTTACTGGCGTGTCTGTTTTCTCTTCCTTTACTCTATTCATTCTTTCATTCCACTGACACCGACTAAATGTTCCGCGACATACCGGTCGCTTGTCTTTTTGTTGTTCACATTAGACCAGTAAGGTATTCCTCGTCGTTTCCAGCAATAAATGCATATCCTTCACTCTTTTCAACTACAGTAACGCTCAGATTGTAACGTAATGTCGGATTTCTTGGCCAATGTTCTATGATAACAGTTCACAGTCGGTTGACACGATTTCTCCGCAACAAGTTAATGAACAATTTTTTTTTTTTGATTTATGACATGACATCAACTCAGTGAAATTCAAATTATGAATTATGACAGCAACAGAAAGAGACGAATAGATATTTTAGCAGTTAGATTTTTTGTTGATTTAATTAGATACAAAATTTTAATTATTTAATAGTAAGAAAAGGAAACAGAGTGAAGTGCTCATACCAATCATTAAACTTATGAGGAGTACTGGTTAGAATAAATTTGTACGTGTATGGAAAGGGAAATCTTGAATATTGAAGGGTGAAAGTAAATCTGAAAAGAACCATGAAGGAAACCTTAGCAGCACACATTCAAGCGACAATTCACAAACCAATAGTAAACAATAGCTAAGACAATAGTACAATGTCACTCTAACGGGATATGAACAAAAGTCAATGGAAATATTATTTCCTTTTATTGAAAATGAAACAAAATTTCACATCTTCTCTGTAAATTTTTTTTTAGATATATTCAAGACCGGCAACAGTTGTATTCCTGATTAGCATATCCAGTAACGTAACAGTAAGAATTCGGTGGGCAAAACGGTTTCTCACCATTACAGACTATCAGATAGTTGGTACTCTCATCACGAACAACACTGTCTGGAACAGGACATATTCCATTTCCAGGCCGAATTTTGTAGGTTGGCACTGTGATCGTCTGAAGACGTGGTCTGCTTAATGGTGGTCCAGTGATTCGTGGTTGGCCTGGAGGACGATTCGGTATTGATATAGCAGAAGTAGTGCCACTGGTAATTGAGGTAGTTGTTCCTGTCCTTTTCCACTGATTGACGCCAGCAGCAGGTAACATATCTCCAACGTACTGTAGCGACGTTGTCGATAAGGTTAAAGGGTCGATAAGAAGTTCGAAAGTCGAAAGCTTCTCGATCGTTTCTATAAATATACTCTCTAAAAACAGTTCCTTTTTTTTTAATATTTGGTTTTCATCTATAACTCATTGCTTTGAAAAAATTTTGTGTTCATAAGTTTTTGCAGGTTCAAAAATTTCTGCAATTCACAGCTTAAGGACTTACTTTATCTTAGTTTGTTTTAAGCATAATACAAGGCTGATGTTAAAGTCGTATTACTGATTTGTTAAGTAATTATTTTACTGCAGGTGATTCCATGTGCAAGAGAATTTTTGGTAGAGTATGTAAGTCTCAGTGTCCTCATATATCTGGCATATCTTTCATGCAGCCTGAATTCCCAGTCATTTCCAAGCCAAATTTTAGTTCACGTTATCGACGATATTATGTTTTCTTTTCAACTTTTGATGAAAATAGTGATTCGAAAAATAGTCAAACAACTATTTCTAATCGTATTTTCAACTTAACTCTTGAAAAGCCCAGAAGCTTTTTTATCGATCCAAGACTACAGAAATTTTTTTTTGGAGAAGATACGTACAAGGTTATTGCAATTTTCTTGAAGATGCATATTTATCCTTCACTTGTATATTCAAATATGATTCACACTTTGAAGAAATATCCTGCGTGAAGTGGAAATCATCAACTTGAAATTGTTTATCTCTTCAAAACAACAGTTTTCTAAACTGCAGTGAGAATTATGATTAGTCAGAATGAAAAATTGGTAGAACTAATTAAAAAATTCAGTTTACCTACCAGGTATTTTTATTGCAGATGGTGCAATGTTTGAAGCGGACAAGTTTATTTGCGAGGTCATCATTTTATTATCGCTTATTAACGTGTTTATTGCTGTGGAATTATTCTGCATTGTTGTGAGGAGTGAATCGCTATAGATCTGAAAACTACCAGTTCTCAAAGTATCAGAACTGTAGCCAATAAAAATTCGGTCTTTAGAGTCAATCATGACTAGAAGTTAGAGATTCATTTATATTTCACACTGAAACTATTCATTATTAATGAACTGTCTCGATATTTTTTTGGAAATTTTCAGTTATATTTTGATTTTCAATTTGAACCCCATCTTAACTTCATTTCTCAAGTCCAGTTACTGTCATGTCAGGACGTTCTCTTTTAAAAAATTTTTAGAAGAAGCGAACTTCACTAATCCACTATCACCTTTTTACAGTTTCCATCAACCACTTTCATCGATGCTTCCGGACAAATGCACCAGCCATCCTGACACTTCGAACCACCTTTACAGTCCCCATCAGTCATGCAAACTCCTGCAGATAGTACTTTTATATGCTTATCTAGAAGTTAAAATGAGCGAACAATTGAAAGTTGAATATTCATACCATATTTTCATTAGAAATTTCTGTATCGTTCTAAAATCAAGGGAATATGATCATTTTTTTTATCGGTCTATATATTTTTCCAAGTAGCATAAATTGAGTCGATAGGAGTTATTCGCTTGTGAATCTCACAGTGTTTTGCTCACAGTACCAGTTTTCAGTTAACTTATTCTAACTCAAGTAAAGAACATAGTTCGTATTTTGTTCCTCCTAAAGAATATACATTTTCCTCAAAGTTTATTTTACACTTCTTGCAGTTAGATTTCAATAAATAATTTTTTTTCAAATATGCTGTTAAAAAAATGTAATGATTTGAATTAATCATAACCAAAACCTGGTTTACAAGTTTGTCCGATAGCAATAAAACCATTCGGACAGATACATTGACCAGCAGAACATTTAGAAGCAGAGTAAGTCACCGAGCATTGGATATCATGATGACATCCACTTTGTCCAGGATGTATCACTGAAATCATAACACTCGATCATCAGTTGTCACCAACCTGCCATACTTCTGTAATTGTACCTTGACTTTTTGACCAATTATAAGTTCAATATTCAATAATGCTAGAGTTGATTCTCGAAACCGTTTCATATATATAATATTTCGAGACAGTCTCGAGTATCCTAGTTGTAGAAAGAGAAAACCTTTTTCACAGAAATTATTAATGTTGACATGGGTTGAGAGACACTGGCAAGTGGCTGGATTGGTAGTGCCTTTGCAGAATGCTCCTGTGATGCAGTCGATATTGGCACGACATGGAAATCCAACAGCAGCTTGTCCTTCTCCATCGAATTTAGGTATTGCCGGGAACTTATGAATCATTTTGGTACTTATGGTTTCCGATTTTCTCCATATATTCTTGGTTTGATTATTTATTCCTGTAAAAAGAATATTTGAGCTTCTGACCTAACAAATTATTTATGAGGTTTTAAGTGGTATCTCAAATACTAGATATCAGTCAATTCATTCAGTACTTGTCATTGTCAAGTTATAAAGATTTGAAAGGAGATTGATGAGTAAAATAAGACAACACTTATTTTAAGTCTATATTACCAACTGGAAAGCAGGAGTTTTCTTGAAGAACGGTATTTTCCGGACAGATGCACACAGGAATAATTGGATGACATACTGATCCACGAGAACATACCTGATTTTTGTTACATAGTTCACCGGGTCCTGTGAAAATTAAAAATTGATAAAAGAAAATCAGTCACCTCATGTCTCAGTAAAAAACTTTTTTTTTTTCTTTTGAAAGCGTTTCTGGAGGAGGATATTTTATTGGCGAAGAAAGATGGCTAATTAATAACTCTGAATGTTGATAGCTTTCCTACGTACACCGACATATGTCGCAAGAGTTAAAAAAAAGCACTGTAGTGTTACAGATAGCATTTGAACCAATTGAATCAATGAAATTTTGCTTCTTTTATTTAGAAATAAAATAAAACAAAATCTCAAAGTTGAGGTGTAATATTTTTTAATCGCGAAAAAGGTGTAAAGAGTAGCGCTTGTACGCTCGTATGGATAACAGATATTTGTTATTTCAATTCGGTAATTCATCCTTTCGAACCTTACAAAATAGATTTGAATCAAATTAGTTGTAGAGTCTTTTGAATTGCTTTATAGAATTTTGCAGAATCTTTAGTTTCTCCTAACCTTAGTTTTAAAGCTATGATAGCTACTCCTAAAATTACTTTCTGCAAAATAGTGCCTTACCCACAGTTAAGGCAGCAGGTCGTCCAGGTATCCGACATTGACTCTCAAAATCTTCCATATCATCAGGACAAAGACATAATTTCATTGGAAGACTGCAAAATGAACCACCACCACATATTTCATTATTTGAACAGCTGCTTCCTGGTGGCATTTGTACTACAAATTACATTATCACTAATTATTTGAAGAAGACTTTCTAACTTGCCTCACTTAAAATCTAACAGGACATATACATAAAAAGTTTGACAGTCACAAAGATATTGTCTGCTGGTCTGATTGCAATTTTTAGAGACACAACAGCTATCACCCCTTGTTTTGTAAATTTTTAAAAGCTAGCAAACTAATAAACATGAAAATTAAGAAGGGACCGAAAAAGGAAAAGGAGAATAAGGAGAAGAGAGTTTTTTCCTTTTTTTTTTTTTTGATTTACCGTGAAAAGCATTTGATAGTATGTCCTTTCCAGTAGTCATAACTGGTTCACTTTTACTTGATGAATACACATTGTAGTCCTAAAAGATCAAATTACTAACACAACATTTCAGGAATATGCATTGATTTCTCATCTATTAATAACTGACTAAGAGAGATAGAAACTAATAATGTTTATCTGAAAAGTATGCAAATTACATACTTTATTCTTTCTGATTGATTCTGAAAAAACAAATTCTGAATTCAGCAACAGTTAAAATGTGTGAAGAGTGGCTTATTATTTTATAGTTGTAAAGAAGAGCAGAAAAGGTTAGTAAGCATTAAATAAGTAAATGAAATTTTACTTCAGTGGGTGTTTTTTTTCAACTTCTCATTGATTAATTAAATTCTATTACTGATTTACTCTAAATTTACAATCAATACAAAGTTTGAAATAGCTTTGTGTTTTATGGATTTAGCAGTGAAAGCTCTAAACAAACAAATGTTGATTGATATGTTTATTTTTATTTTTAATGTCCTTTGTTTTATTTCTACTTTAACTTTAATTTTTCTCTTTCTCGTTAAATTTTATTTATAATTTGAGCAAGAAACCAAAGAGAAAGTTATTATTTTCATCTGTTTGAGAATATATTGATCTTGAAACTAAAGTAAAAACGAGAATATGCCAATAGGCTAATTAGAAAATAAAAAAAAGTTACACCTAACATACTTTTTGTTGAAGTGATTTTAATAAAGACGACGTTGGAATACAAGATAAAGTATTTAGATTGGCTGTCATGCCAACGGGACACGAACATCGCATATTATTTGGATCACAGACCGTTCCATCAATACATTCTTCATCATTTGCGCAGTTATTGTTGAGGAATACTACAAATGACTTGAATTAAAAATGAAATTCTGTGTGGAAAGAAATTTTGAATCATGAAAGATATTTGATGAGTCTGACAAGAATGCGAAGTAAAAGTGTTCATCAAATGATACTTTTAATTAGAATTTATTCATATAAAATAATATAGGCTGTATAAAATAATTGTTGCGCTGTTGTCAAAGGAATGATGTTACATTGGACGAAGGTAGCGATAATTTTTGTTAGCAACGACAATTGCAAAAGGCTAACAAATACATATTTTAATTTTTTAGCTATTGTTTTCTTATCATTCCATCCGTTTTTTTTTTTTTCTAAAAAGTTTCAAATGTTACTTACTTGTCAAGTTTTATTCGTCAAAAATTCGAATACTAAATTATTTTAAATAAGTAAATCATGACCAATTATTTTTTAAAATTGATAAGTGGTAATGCATCCAGAGCCATTGGAAGAAACTCAGCGTGATCGTACACTTATAGATAACGATTATAAATTTACGTAATTGCAAATTTTAAAATATTAGCTTGCTTACCATTTGTTTGCAGTGTGAGCCGTTCAGGTATACATCTTTTTTCACTGATTTGAAAACTGTAACCAGGTAAACAAGATTCCAGTTTCCACACGCCCAGTGTTCTGAAATGACAAAAGAACTTTGCAGAGTTGTCATTTTCTGACTAAAAAAGAAAACTGCTTGACTAACCCAAACCCGATGGGTGTATAAAGCATGAATAAATCGGAATTTCCATCTGGGCTTTCCATCAAACCAGTGTCCCATGTTATGTCACAATCCACGCCCGGATTTACCATCTTTGTTGTCATTTCTGTTGCTTCTGAATTAAATTCCAGTTACACTTCAGTTTGTTCATAGCATTTTTCGTATTCGAACAATTTAGTAAAAGTGAGGGAAAATATATAATTATTTTGCAGAAATTCGTAATTCGTCGAATTAGTAAATATAATTAAAAAATCCAATAGAAAATAAAATATTTTATATGTCTTTTGGACTTCTTTTCAATTATGCTAAACACAAAGAATGCACCAAGCTTTAAGATTTTCGGGGCATCTGTGATTGTTTTATATCAAGTTATGGATTTTTTACTCCTGTTATTTGGCTTTGAAAAGTTGCAACTAAAAATTCTGTCTGTTGTTTCTAAATTTCATTGTTAATGGTATATAAAAAGCTAGTTCTGACTACTTTCATTAGCACAGTAAAAAACATACCGAAATGATTTGTTATCCAGCATATTGAGATAATAGCAAATAACAGCAACATTCCTGATCCTTTATTTTTGATATGTTTGTCTGTTTAGGAATTTTTTATCCTCAGTTAAAAATTTCCTGAAAAATAGCAGTGCTTAGCAAAATTCAAAAAATACAAACTGAAAGATAGGTGACTCAAAGATAGGTGACTGAAAGATAGTGATTCTATTTGCAATTAATACTTAGATTATCATCTTGTGATACTACCTATAATTTTCGATATTAATTTACAGAAGAAAATGATTTTAATAATAGCATTAAATACTCATTCTAATAGCAAGAATATTAGACATTTTAACTGTGCAACTGATCAGGTATATGCAATTTTACAAGTTTGAAACACCTCCTCTTTTCTCCTTCCTTTATGACGGTCATATTTTTAAATCTCTCATTCCAAATCTCCTCAATATTTTGTTCTACTAACTGTTGAGCTATAAGTATTTAGTCTGACAAATAAATAGATTTGCAATTAAAAATTATTGGTCTGAGAACCGTATCAATTCTCAGAACAATAATTTTTGAAGTGTTTTGGATATGTTAATTGGAATAATTTCTTGTTGCTTTATAAACTAGAATCAAATAGGCAAATAATTCGTTTACCATCTCTACAAGGAATATTACTGTTTCTGTTGAATGAATTTAAGACCAAAAATTTTTGGAATTTCAGAAGTTAAGTTACACATGTTTAAAACTTTGAACTTAACCAGAAACTGCTTGCAATATTTCTAAGTAGGAATAATTAAAAAATAGTTTACCAGCTGTTTCTAGCTCGAGTTTTTTTACTTCACATCATTTTCAATTCTAATGCAGATGTCTATGTCATCAGTATTATTCTGCCTAGGTATGAAATCATGCTTTCACTCTGATATTTCGGTATGGTATTTAGCCAGATTCAAATCCAACTAATTGATGAAGCACTTTTATAAGATTTTTTTCCGAAGCTAAATGTAAGTGTTAAGAAATTAGAATAAAATTTAGGTTCAAACAAATAATTTTATTTTGAAATTAAAACAATTATATTTCACTGAAAATAGTGAAAGTGAATTATCAATTTATGTTGTTGCACTGAAGTGGAGAGTAGTAAATCCAAAAACACGGATATTAAATTTTTCCAAAAGCTTAAAATCTAATTTAAAAATTGAAATGGGAATGAGAACGAAACAATACAGAAATAACTGAAATAGTGAGTAATACTAAAATTGTTGATTGCTACTTGTGGCAAGCAATTAATAAGCCAATTTTTCTCTTTGCCTTACTGCTTACATTTCGGGAATTAAATTTTTACTACACCAGTTTTTTCGATCTTCTCATCAGAGGGGACAAAGCAAGACAATTAACAATTCATCAGCTAAAACTTGCAAACTGAATCTTTTATTTACAGCATACCTCCATTCTAGTAGTCATACCTATATCAACAAACAAAATATTTAAAGTGTAATAGCCACTTTTTATAGGCGAACACGTTGTAACGGAAATAATGTGATGATTAAAGCCATGTTTGATTAGTAGTGGTCAGTTTTCCTCAGTGTACCTCCCAAACACTGACTGAAATTTGATAACGTAAAAGAAACTCTTTGATAACTGTACTTGAAGCAGTAAAAATTTTGTCAAGAGAGCTTCACTTCAAATAAATCATTATGTTTTGATTCAATATATTGCAGTTTGTATCTTCCTGATTTTTCGTTGATAGAAAAACATAGCAGGAATTTCTGCCATTAAAAGCTAAGCTTTTTCTCTGGAATTGCGAGAATTCTAGCTTTTGAGCTGAACTAGTCTAGTCTTTAAAATTGATAAACCAGTTTAGAATTAAAATTGATCTAGAATTTAGAATTGACGTGTAGCTGGTTAGAAGTTTGTTAAAATTTGTCAATACAGTTGATTTCAAATAATGTGATGATTAATGGCAGGTTTTATTTCAATCAAAAATTTTATCAGACAGTACAGATACAATATAAGGACTTTAATCCAAGATATATTATTAGGATCCTTATCACAGTTTGGAAAGAGAAAGGAACAAGCAGACTTTGAAGTAATAACTTTCAAAGTGAACCAATGATGAGTCATTGCCATGGAAAATCAATAAAATTTCTCCATAACTTAATAAATATTAAGTGATACTCGTCATTTCTTTTCCTTTCATTCTATAATGTGATAAAAAAAAATGGAGCAAGCGATACGTCTTTGATTTCAAAGACGGAATCGGATTCTGTATTTGAAACTACTGCATCACTCAGTTCAAGTTCAAACTTTGGACTTCAAAAATTGTTTGTCCTTTTTCAATTCTAAACTTTAGAAGAATCCAAATAAGATCTTGGATCATTCGATATTTTGTTTCACTGATGAACTGTGAACTATTTTTGTTCATTTTGAAATATCAATTACATTGATTTTAAAAGTGACAAAAGCACATTGAAAAACAATAGTGACTGTATTTTGCTCGTTTTTTTTGATTGCTTGCTGAACTACTATTTGTTTATTCAGTAAGTGATAATGAAATACTGCAAGCTAAGTTCTTAATATCATCACAATTACTATAATTATTTCACGATTAATTTAGTTTACTTTTCGTTCAGTATTCACTGCTTCTGATCAATTTATTCACAACAACAAAAGTTACTGTTATATTTGTTTTTAATTTTGCACGGAAGTCCATTACTCTTTAATATGCTTGACAAACATTGACAAATAAATTGTCAAATCTTTTTTTTTTTATTTTCTTAACGAGGACACTGGAAGGTGCATAAAATAATATGGGATGATTAATTAAACTGGTTTTGGGAGAGACAAACGACTGGACAGTGTTTGTTCAAGATTTCTTCCCATTTTGACGTGTACCATTCATGCTCCTATCCCATTTTTAACCAATTTTCAATTTCTCTTGTCTTTAAAGTAAAATAATTTACTGATATCGGTTCCCGGGATACTTTTTTCTTTGAAAAGCTTCGCCTAATCGGTTTTTGGTGACGTCGAAAGGATTGCATTGCCAAAAAAATTGCATCATTTGCTTGTTTTACTTTTTTTCCGAACTCTATAAGCAATTATTAAGAAGTGACACTTGAATATGTCGATTGCTGATACACTGGAACTGATGAAAATTGAGTTTGAAAAAGAGATTTACAATTACTTTACAAATAATCTCTTGTGGAATTTATTTTTGACATCTACTGGCATTGTCTATATCCTCTTCATTTCTATCCCTTTGTAAGTAATGGTAAAGTTTCAAATGGAACAAAAGAAGTAAAAAGCAATAATGAAATGAAACTTTCAGTATTAGGTTTTAAAACGACAAACTTTATAATTCTTCAGAATCCAAGTGATATATTAAGCTTTTGTGTTTGAAATTTTGAGAAATAAAACCTAAATTGATATACCACAAAGTATAAATCCACGAAATAGAGAAAATTTATTTGTTTAACTCTTTTAATTTATAGACAAGCAGTTTATAAATGGTATCGACAAAAAAGCAGCGATAGCGATTCTCCAATTCCGTACTTTGCCACATACGTTGGGTAACATTATGTCGATCAGATTATCTTACACTTTTGAGAAAATTGCTGTAACCTTTTCAAGAAGTTCTCAAACGAAACTAATTAATTTTTTTAATACTTCGAATCATTTTGATTTAAAGCACATTTGTTCAAGAACTGCTGTTTTGTTTTGCAATCTTTCAAGGTTTTTATTTGTTTTACATTATAATAACTACTGAAAAAGCTATTATAAAATAAAACCAATAGAATAATAAATTTTGACTTCATTATTCTACTATCCTATTACATCGAATTTCAGATCAGCCTTATGGCTTCGCTACTCGATGTATACAGCAAATTCGAAAGCAGTTCTTTTGCAGGCTTTTTCAGTTTTCATGCAGATATTTTTTATTATAGCAATGTTGTTCTACAGAACCAGAAAAGTATATTGGCATCTTGTCCTTAATACACGTTTCCAACCTGTATTATCACTTTAAATAGATGGCCTATCAAAAAACATTGCAGAATAAATTGCTCCAGCTATTATGTTTAATTACGATAGTACTTGCAACGATATTTGTTTGGGCGCAAATGTTACGAGTAGAAGATGGTAGAGCATTTATTGGTAGTGTGGCATCTTGTTCTCAGACTATCGGATCATCAGCTTATCTCTTTCTAATTGTATGTTATTTCAAACTTTAGCAATCTTTTGATTTCATCAAGAATGAAAGACCAAAAGAAATAAGTCAGTCATTACATGTTAAAATTCGTTTTATCAGCATGCGATAAAGCTGCACATCCAAGCTACAGGCAGTGTTGATGATTAAATTACGTCTATGAAACGCAAAAAAAAATTAAATTACGTATATAAAATGCAATTGATCGTTGTCAGGTGTACAGCATTAAATGTTTAGAAATTTTGATTTTTTTGCGAGTGGAAGAATAGAAAGGCGAAAGATTGATAACTAGAAGAAAATTTATAGTATCAAGCAGTGAAAAGGAAAGTAATGGATTTTATACCGTTTGGATCGGTAGTACTTGCATGGGTTCTGGAAATACACATTGTCATCTATAGTATTGGGGTCAGGGACTTCCATCTGCTGGTTAGTTACAATGTTATACTTTGAAATGTAAAATTTTATTTTGACAATAAAAATTGTAGAACTCATCTTCTTATCCTTCCGCTGTTCCTCCTAATAAAGAGAAGTTGCACTGGAATTAGGATGTAAAAACTTTACGATTTAAACAGCCGTTTACCTTTTTCAGTTCACTTTGCAGATAGCGAATGGAGCATTCATGGTATTGAATGGTTTGCTTCTGTTAATGTTTTTCATATATCCTACTAAAGCGCCCAAAACAAAACCAAGTAATCTCTCATCAACACCTACATAATAAACATTTAAATAGAGGTTAACTGCATGTTTTATATTAAACATTAAACAAGATATGAGAAACTTCTAGCTTGTCTAATTAACAATTTTTGACTTGAATGATATTTCTTAGTAAGCTTTATTAATATCATTTTCAAATGGTGCCAAGAAATACCATAATATAACGCCATGATAATTTATTTAGAGATATGTGTTATAGCTGCACCACCGAAACACTTATAACTAAAAAACAATGTAAGCAATAAATTCTACACTTGTTTCTGTTCCAACCTTTTCATATTTCTCTTTAAATTCATGTGCGGAATAAACGGCACTTCATCCATTCGTCATTCACAAACTTCGTCCTGCAATGCACAAAAGTCCGTACGACATGTTATTTATAAATGACTGAAGTGTAATTTGTTCTGAAAAAATTCATTCCGACCAATAATGGTGGTGCGAGAGTGGCAATCGTTTAAGCAGTATTGAAACTCTAATCTTAAAAACTAAAAATTTTAAACGAGGTCATCATAGTTTTTGAACAAGAAAGGACAAATAGTCTGAATCAACATGTAATAATCAGTTCCTATCTTTAATCAGTTTTCGAGATTTTAACGCCCGACGATTTTGTGATATTTTCTTGCTACTTATCAGACAGTTCCAGATTTTTAAGGACATCGGGAATGGTGAATGATAACTGAGTAGCAATTTAAATTACATGATGCCTTGAAGATTTCTTGAGACGAATCCTGAGTTGCTAATAAAACTGTCGAAAATTAAAAAAAACAGAAAATTTAAAAATGCATTGTAAATTAAATCACCGTCAATTCTTGCCCTATCTGTTCAGCGGCTACCTTCTCGTTTAATTATAAAAGGATATAATCTCATGGCCATGACAGCCGTCAGTGATTTAAAAGACAAAAAAAAAAAATCACTTAAAATGAAGCTAAACATAATTTTGTTAAAAAATAATTTGCTTACATATAATTAGTGATTCCATCTGGCAATATGACAACACATTTTTGATTTTCAGTTAACTCTTTGGCAACCTGCATAGCGCAGAAAACATTAGCTCCTGCACTGCCACCACATAGCAAACCTTCGTGTTTGGCTAATAAACGAGATGTTTCGAATGAATCCTTATCATTGCTTCTCATCCACAAATCAATAATATCACGATCCAACACTGTAGGAATAAAATCGTAACCAATTCCTTCTACCTAAAAGCAGTGCCTATGACAGAAATTCTATGCATAAATGTGTATCATAATCATAATAAGAAAAAAATCAAAAAAAAGAAAGGAATAGCTGACCATTATCTTTTAGTACAGCTCTTCTATCTCCTATATTTGCTATTTCCTATACATTTCCTGCTATTTTATTGCTAGTCTGCAATAATATAAATTTTCAAAATATTTAGTCCATAAAACTTTGATCAAGTTTTCCTTGCATTATTTAGGCCTCAAATATTAACATATTCAAAAGCGAACTATACAGAAACAATTCTTAATGATAGACACACATCTATGCGTTTTTAAAAACCTGACTGAAATATAGGTGAACGAAGAAACCCGAACTTTCAGGAAAACTAAGCTAAAGTGCTATCCTTTTAAGTTCAACTGTAGATCACGCGTACCTCATAGGTTGAAACTTCATTATGTTCTGGATCAGAAAGAATTGAGCCTATAGGATCAACACCAACAATCTGAAAATTATTTAGATTACGGTAATAATATAACAATGAAGAACTGCTTTCCATCATTCGTCCTCTCTTCTTCCTTCTTCTTTCTTAGAAGCTAGCTGGAAACTTATTCACAAAATCATCCAATTGCAGGTTTTACTTTCAAATTTAATGATGGTTCTTGATGTCAGCAAGAACTGCTTAAAAATATCTTAACTTTTGATTTTAGAGATTTAAAATGACCGACCTTACACTTTGGACAAACTTCCTTGAGTTTGTGACCGATCCCACTTATAGTACCACCTGTTCCAGCACCAGCTACAAGCACATCCAAATTATCATCCAATGCGTATAATAATTCTTCCGCAGTTTTATCGTAATGTTCCAAGGGGTTAGCGATGTTTGTGTACTATAATACTTCCATGATTGAACTACTAATCATAATAATTAATTGTTTAGCTTCATATTTCATTTGTTTGAAATAAAGGGTAAATGTAACTATTTTAATGAATAAAGATAATATTTAAAGTAATACCTGATCCAGGATAATAGCATTGGGAAGTTCCTTCTGTAATCTAAAGGCGACACCGATATGTGACTTGAGATCCGAAAATGATGCTTCCGTTGAGGTGCGTACTACTTCAGCACCCAAAGCCAGCAAAATGTTTTCCTAAACTTTTCAAAACAATTTTATTGAACATATTAAAAAGCATGATATCATCCAAATACGTACTTTCCAAATGATAATATACTAACAATACGAGTAAAAATGTCGAAAGATGAACGCTTCGAAGTGAAATATTTTGTGGTACATGAAGCAGGCAACAAATCTAGAAATATGTCTTCTACAATATCCTCCAGATGTCGAAGTAGGAAGCACTGAGAAAGCAGTGGGAAGAGAACAGGATGGAAATATCGGAAGTGATCGAAAAATTTTTTATTCCTCCAAATGTTGTATCATTATAGTAACCAAAGTTGAAAAAAAGGAACAGCACACCGAAATGATCTAAGGGTCTAAGGTCATATGATCATCTAAGGCATAAGCTCTTACAATTCAAAAATTTTTCTCCTAAACTGTATAATGTGTACTTATTCATCTTATGACAAATGAGACAGTTCATGTGTGTGTCAACTTTTGTGCCCAAAAAGACTTATTCTTTGTCACGTCTAAAGAAACTTGTCACATTAATATTTCTTGAGAAATTTCTTATATAATTAATTTAGATTTAAAGCTATAATGAACTGTTACAGAGATAATAAAACCTAATTCTCAATAAAATGATATGCAACGTCTGTGGTACATAATGATGAGAATTGCTTGAAATGTAAGTAAATGTAATTATGAAAGTTTTTTATGATCCAAAACATATCTGTTCTCTTTTTCTCCAACCACCACTCAAAGTGCTACAGTTCTTATGCCGAAACGTCCAAAATATTCAAAGGCAATCTAATCACCTTTTCCTGACTCATTTTTTCCGGCATCACGATAATGCAACGGTAACCCTTGACTGCAGCGACTAGTGCTAAGCCGATCCCAGTATTTCCAGAAGAAGGTTCAATTATTGTCATTCCAGGTTTCAGGTAGCCCATCTCTTCAGCCAATTCAACCATTCTATAGGCAATACGATCTTTTATTGATCCTCCAGGATTCAGATAATCACATTTCACATCTGTAATATCCGTAGATCCTGCATTCACACATATAATATGTCGTAAGATTTGAACATCTGTCTTCAGAAATTAGTTCAACTCCTGTGAAACGGCCCTGTGGAACACATCCCATTTGCTATTCTTGTGAAAAATTAACCTAACCATAAAACTGTGGTTGGCATTAGTGGAATTTCAACCATAATGTGTAAATAAAGTATTTATATATTTCTTAAAACTTACAAACTTGACATCTAACACCAAACATTTTTGGTATATAATTTAGGCGAACTAACGGTGTTTCACCAATCGCTTCCAGAATATTATCAATGACCATTTTCTTTTCGTATCTCACATTTTCCGCTGCTTCCCCATTGACTCTATTTGGTGCTGTACTGAAAAAGAAGTCTCACTCAAATGCTGGAATTAAAAGGGCATTCTTAAGTATATTCACTCTCAGTTTTATAATAAGAATAATCAAACTTATCATTTCCTCTGATAAATTACTTGATATTTAGTTACCTAAAAATATACACGTGTAAAAGATATTTACTATTCTGTGATTTGAAAGACAAAGCAAGTGTTTGTTATCTTACATAAAATATAACTAAATGTAAAATTTTTGCTATCTTATTTTTTATCTGAAGTAACAATAAAATTGCTAACCGCCATGGCTTGAATGGAAAAGGACATTCGTTCTTTTTTGGATCTAGCGTGCTCCATTTCCACTTCATTTTCTTGTCCGGACGATAATTCAAAGATTCGTTCAGCGAGCATTTGAAAATATTAACTTGAAGAACTTAAGTTGCAATTTATTTATTAAAGCAACATACTTACTTTTCTTCTATAATTTATTTAAATCGGATTGAAACCAGAGTGGATCTTGAGGGAGCCAAAAACTTATATTTCAACACTTTGATGATTAAAAAATTTTCGGAGGTGAATTACTCGCTAGGCATAATAGGAATTTGTTGAATTGGTTCCATGAAGCATCGTTTCAACATCCATTCATTGTTCAAAAACTTAGACCTGAAGATGAAATAATTTTCATATAAGTTTCAAACCATTTTTAATCATTTTTAATTGGCACAATCAAATACGGAAAGAACTGGCTCTGATTAAATTTATCAGGGTCGGAATAAAAATTTAAATTGCATAATAGAAAGTGTAATTATTTTTATACTTTTTAAAAAATAAGAGAATTGAAGATTTTATAAAAAAAAAAATGAAAGCTTTAACTTTTTCGAAATAGGATAAAGTTTTTAAACAGCTAAAATTTAATACGAAAATCAGGAAAAAACGTCTGCTGATATTATCTTCAGTGAAATATTTATGATTATGGCATAACATCATTTTAATATAAACACACATATAATTTCGGATTCCATCGGGAAGAATGACAACACAGTTCTGTCCTTTTTTGAGTTTTTGACATTCTTGCATAGCAGCTACCATGTTGGAACCGGAACTACCGCCAACCAATAAGCCTTCCTCACGTATCAATCGACGAGCCATTCTGAATGAGAAAGGGAAGTGATAGGTGGATAAATTCATCAATTTAGATTAATATTTAATAGAGCTAAAATAAAGTTTTTTTTTTTTTTTTAATAGAACTAAAGTGGAATCAAATTCAATGAGTTAGCATTAAAATGAATTCAGGAAGTTATGAAAACGAACTTGAAAGTATCCGCATCATTCACTTTGATCCATTTGTCGACAATATTGTAATCAAGCAAAGGTGGTACAAAATGACAGCCAATACCTTCCACTTCAACAAAGGCTTCCTTCTCTTCATCTCCAGCACTACTAATTACTGAACCTTCCGAATCTACACCAACTATCTACAGAGAAATTAAAATAGATATAGAATTTAATCAGTTGGAGAAGATCATCACATGTTTAAAGGTTGGGGACGAAAAAAGGTTATAAAAAGTGTCCAAAAAACGAAAACTAGAAATGAAGAAGTATTTGTACTCGAAATTTCAAATTTTCCGGCAATTTATATTGCAAAAAAAAAATATTAAATTTCGAAAAAATTGTAAGATACCGTGACATTAGCACATTCTTCTCTGATACGTCGTCCAACTCCGCTTACAGTACCGCCTGTGCCTGCTCCAATCACAATCATATCTAGTTTTTTATCCAGTGCATGTAATATTTCCGCAGCGGTGCTCTCATAATGTGCGATAGGATTTGCCGGATTGAGGTACTATAGAAACAGAAGACACTGAGTTTCAACTAACTATTTATGTTTATAACGTATTTTTATTTTACTTTAAAAGAAACACTGTTATTCCAATCCTTTTCACAGTTCATTTCCTATATTAAAATAATTTTCGACAACCATTTTTTTGTTTTCTTAATAACGATATGTTTACTTATTGTTTCACAGGAATTATAAAAATTGTATTTTCTTATCATTAATTTAGGAAACAAAATTTGAACAACGATGTGAAATCAAACGGAACCAATTTAACCTGATCAAGCACCAGAGAGTTGTCTCTGTCTTTTTGCCGCATCTCGAATGCCACACCAAAATAAGAGAATGGTGAATCGTATGGAACACTATCTTGGGTATGAATTATTTTCCCACCTAGTTCGTTGATGACACTCGTCTGAAAATGAGTAAGTTCTGAAGGATAAGCGATAAAAACTATTCCTACCAATTTAATTTTAAAATAAATTTTATGTTTCATTTCTGTCACTTATGAATCATTTTTCTTTATATATTTTTTTAAAAGATTGTTATTTATCATGATGGACAAACTAAATTCATCAATGAAAATATTTTAAAGGTATAAAAAATTGATTGGTAATGTATCACTAAGAAAATAAAACAGTGGTACATGACTTTCAACTGGGTAAAAAAAACAATAATGTTTTGCGAATTTTTTTTTAATTTTCTACTTATATTTTAAATATAGTTTTCCATCGATGCCTTTAATATACAAATATTTCTCAATACTTTATAATTTCAATCCCTCAATAGAAGAATATGACCAAAATATTGAAGATTTGGAAGTGTATAACAACCGATTTATGAGTGGAACTTTACTTTAGACAGAGTTCAACTGCTAGCTGCTCCTGCAGCACTAAGAAATGCATTATAATGAATTACTTACTAAAATTAAAATCTAAGGGTATGTGTTAATTAATAAAGACAACGGAGAAATTCAAATGGCTATTATGTGATCTAAATATAACATAAAATACTCATTTTGAAAATATTGTAGAGAATGAAATGGAAGTTATTTTATGTAAAAACTTATTCGTTCGCAAGTAAATGAAACAACGATTTGATACATAAAAAAAGAAAACAAAATGAAAACCTTTTCCATGCTAATTTTATCGGCCACAATTACAGACTTGTAACCCTTAACAGCTCCAACCATTGCTAAACTAATCCCTGTACTTCCGGTTGATGGCTCAATCAACGTCATGCCCGGTTTTAAGATTTTAGTTCGTTCCGCTATGTCAACCATTCGCTCTGCAACTCTATCTTTGATGGAACCACCTGGATTTAAGAATTCCATTTTGGCATCTGCAATAAAGTCTTCTTTAACTCAAAAGGAGTCTTAACAGATTCTTCTTTCTCTTTATGAGAAACAAACGGAATGTTGGAATTTAAACAAATCTCGGGGATGCATTCAGAATATCATTGCGGTAAGAAGCTGAATTTTTTCTTATCATAAGAATATAGAGCAACTGATTATTAACATTTTCTATTTCCTAGCAATAGATTTTTTTTTTTTTTGAAATCATCGCTACAACTTCGTAAAAAAATGCACTCACACACATTACATTCAATACCCATAGACTGCGGTATTCTGTTCAGCTTCACTAACGGTGTCCCTCCGATAGCATCTAGCACATTGTCCACTGGCTTACCATCCGGGAGTCTTCAAAAAACTCATAACAGATTTTCTTTTACAGAAAAAAAAAGGGATAAATAATCTGATAATAATCACTTCATATAGAATGAATAGAGAATTAGCTTTCTTGTAGACAAATTTCGCTTATGCGAAAAAATTTACATGAGCTCTGTACTGGAAATGAAACAACCTCAATTTACGATATTGATGCGGGACATCCTTCAGCAGAGCTTTTTCGTACCATGGTTTTTCGTGTTTTGCTTCTTCATTATAAGGTAAGATATCATCCACAATAATTCTATCTACAAATTCCGACATCATTATTTCTGGGTGGCTGAGTATTCAACTTCTGAAATTAAAGAATTAAAGGCATTTAAAATATAATAATTAATGATAATAATAATTATTATAGATATTTTCAATTTTTGGAAGCAGAACGCAAAAAATATCGTCTTAAAAAAGACATTCACTCTGAAGCAGTTTTTCCACTTTATATTATGCGATCTTTAAGTTAAAAATGCGATGAATTTGCTGAGCAGTGAACACCGATTCCAAAATATTTGTCAAGAAAGAACCAAAAACTATAAACACGCGAATTTCATTGAATTTGGAGTCATGGATATTGAAATCTCAATCACATTTAAGTCGAACAACATTTGAAAAACTTCCTAACATCATAATACAGATCAGTTTTAATTTGGTGGATTCAGCGGTTTTTGACTATTTTTTCACCATTTATTGGTTAAAGTTGATATGTTTCCTTATTCGAACAAAGTCTTAAACTATAATATAATATGAGCAGTAAGTGATAGCTGAGCAGATTACTCAAGCTCATTTTATTTATATTGAATTGTAAATCTATATTGGAGCCTAACAAAAGTTGTCCTCTTCTTAATTGACACTCAGTCAAAAGATTCAACCTTTGTGATGCTGAATGTTTGTTAGCAGTGACTTTCTCTTTCTACTACACTTAGTACAGATGATTTGTTACACTTATTGTAAGAGTTGCCTAAATCAAATTTTAATATTTGATTTAAGATTTGTGGTAGGAAGTAAATTTCTAAGACTGAAAATCATTTTTAAGAATGTCATTTTGATTCTGGAAAGACTAAAAAGGAGCAGACCCCACCACTGGCAGTAATATTTAGCCTTTTGTGCTTGCTTTATTGCATATCTGCATTTTGCGAGTATATAAGGTTGTGGGAATGCAAAGACCAAAGTATATCAACAGATGCATTTAAAACCCCGAATTGCTTAGCTGTAGTTTGAGCGTAGGAATGGACGGTGTGACAAGAAAACAGAAAACCACCGCTGATGTTCACTATTCGTTATCACGTCGCTATGAAATTTATTGTAAACAAGGTGAGTGAAGAGAAAGTTGAAGCGATTCGTTACGAAAGCAAAGAGTATTTCTAGAATAATGCGTGGCAATCATTCCAAGACGTTTCAATGAAAATTGACGTAAGTTATCTTTGAGATTCGATCGCCAAAGCTTTGTATTGAAAACGGAGAAATATTTGTGAGTTGGGAAGAAAATTGATATCAGAATGCAAAAATGCGAACAAACACAAAAGTTTTATAAAGAAGAGTAATTGTTGAGAATATTCAGAATAGCATGATTATTTGATCAACAAGTTTGCAAAGATATGAAACTTTGTAATATAAATAATATGGTGACGAAATATTGACCAGCAGCGACGACCAGTAACTAACAGAATGAGAGTGCGTCAGATAACTAATTGTTAATGAAGTCAGGAAAAGAAGATAAGACAATGATACCGATGACCTCATGAAACACAGTTGTAAACTTAACTAAGAATAATGAAATGTCCGCGCAAATAAACTCCATGCAGTAAATTCTATAAAACTCCGTATAAAACTTTGTTCATGACGAAGGGAAATCTTCTAATTACCAGTACAAGGTTTTGAATTTTTTGGTGGTTTTTGGAAAACACTCGGAAAAGTTTAAAACTCTCAATGCTTATGTTTGGAAGTTAATTACCTTCTGTTAGTAAGAATTCCGAAGCAGATTTGACAAAAAAAAAACCCTCTCAATACATATCAACAAATGCTTCCGTGTGATGTTAACACGCATCATTAGTATTACTTTTTATGGTCCCGGAAGATTCTAAAATGAGAATGTAAGAATGCAAAATAATTCATCCACACTCTCATTTTATTTCATGCATTCCATTTACATCTTTTATTATTTTAAGTTTTCTCACAAAATGAAAACAGTGCAAGTGTTGTGCTGCTGAATAAATAATATATTTTCTATAACGGAAATAATTCACAATAAAGTTAATCACCTTCTGTTGGTAAGAATCCCGAAGCAGGTTTCACAAAAAAAGAAAATCTTCTTGAATACATTATTCGTACCCTGCACAAAACAACAGGAAGCTCGCTCCAAAAACAGAAATACTTATATGTAATAACTAATTGATTCAAATAATGATAATAACAAATAAAGATAATAATGTACAAAAAAAAGAAAAGAAGAAAGGAATTAAACGGCTTGAAATAAAAGATAAATGAGCACAGCAATCATAAATTACTTCACAAATACATATGCGACACTTTGAAGAACTTCAATATGTCAACGTTGCCTAAACTACGCTACATGGCAACCAAAAATATAGAACTGTGACAGAAGTACATTACTGCTACTGCAACAGCTACAAAATACCACAACGGTACGACGCAAAAAAATTCAGTGATAATTAAACCATAATTAATTTTCTACTGAAGCAAAAGCGTCTAGCAATTCCTCATCCGTTAATTCAAACAAAGTCCGACTATTTTGCAGCTCGCCCATTTCTGGAGTGGTATATCGATAACCAGTTGTTAATGTACGTTTCTGAACTTCAGTCTCATTCAGTACTCTTGCTTCTTTTACTACATCGAACAACAGCTGCTTTGACATATTATCCATCCCAACTGTTTGATCTTCAACCTCTGTATTTTCTGATTGTATATTAATTTTATTGGATTCCAACGGCAGATCTATAGAAATGATGCTAAAAGCTACGACAATAAGTGATATATATATATATATATATATATATATATATATATATATATATATATATATGGTTGACTCTGAATTAGAAAAGAAAATAATATTGAAATCGTGAACTAAACGAGTTCAATAAATGATCAACTGATTAACCAGAACTTCAGGATTATGACAAAACGAGGAGTCTTACAGATCTAGTTCAAATGAATAGAAAAATGAAAAATAGACAATATGATGAGAAACGGAAAAAAGACTGAACAAAATTTTTACCTTTTGTACATCGTAAAAAAGTGCAAACAAAATTCGGCAAAGGAAAATAATTCGAGCTGATACCATTGCAATCAACATCAAAACACTTTTGAAAACAGTGTAATTTACCTAAATCCGCAACCCAAAATACTCCGTTACTTCGGTGCTCTCGGCCAATATTAAAACAATAACGACAATTTGAAATCTAAAAAAATAACTTCATTCTATGTCTTTATAAAAATAACATTCGGTTAGTAAGAATAATTCCTTGTACTTATTCTGCTATAAAAATCAAGTAATGTAGGAACAAGAAAAATCTTTTTAAAGTTATAACATACATAATAAATGATATGTCGGGACATTGTAAATTTATCCACTGATAACTTCCATTGCCGAATGGATGCATTACCTTTCCATCTTCTGAAGCATATTTGTTAATTCAAAGAAACAAGAGGATTAATCACTAATAAGTATTTGAAAGCGCACCTGTTTATGGCAATGATATGTTGGTCCAATATGGGAAAAGGCGAAGTTGCTCCACGACCAGTCATGCAGTCCACGCTTCCATTTGATGCAGGAACTGAACTACTTATTTAATCAGCAATAAATGGTCGTTGAAGAACTACTAACAAAAAAATTACTAAAACCATTTCTTGTGTCTTAGTATTTATTCCCTTGTTAAATCAAGCTAAATAATTGAGAAACAACAGGAATCATCCTAAGCACTTAATTTTTTTTAATGTTCAAAAAAAAGGTTTTCAGGTGTCTATACAGTGTTTTTTTTTTTTCGAAGTATTCTACTTAATAGATAATAAAAACTAACTGCAAATACGAAAGCATAACAAAGTCGCAGTGAAATAGCACAAATTTGATGAATACTATCCTGATCTCTTAATTTAATTTCAAAATATACCTCGGGTGGGAAGTGCAAGAATTTCTGGCTCTGTCCTTTGAATACATGGATATTTCTCATTTTTAGCTATTGGGATATAAAAGATTTCCGAAGTGTTGTACCTGGCAGGTACAACTAATGAATCGAGAAAAATTTGTTTTCTTGGAAGGTATTTTCTGTGGACATAAAAATTACAACGTTGCGCAAGCACTAAGGGGTTGTTTTTTCCCAATTTTGACGACAAATACAAACGAAAATTACGATTCCTGAAAACAATACTTTCTATTACTAAATGAAAATAAAGTGGAAATCAGAAAAAGGCTGCTAAGCTGTAAGAATTCCAAAACTAACTGATATAAGAATAATTTAGATTAGAACAATATTTCCTATCCAAACAATTCAACAGAAAATTTTACATTAGAAGAATGAATTAAAGGTTCCATCTCAGGGATATTTAATAGCTATACCTTCGTTTCCTGATCACATTATCAATCACTACAAATTTTTTTAGGTAAAACGAAAATCTTCGTTCCCTGTCTAGTTTTTTAAAACAACGATTTAAAGTAAACTAAGACTGTCCATTCAAGTTTTTATTACAACCTGGTACCTTCCTCACTATATATTATTTTAATTTAAAACTTATATGACTAACTTAAACTTACGCTGAGTAAACAGTTACATCAAACAATGTCATCCGTTTAGTAGCATCGGCATTCCAAACTAAACATCGACCAGATGACATCATTTTTTCCTTCAGTTGTTGTATAAAGGATTTCATAGAAATGTTAGATGGAAATAAACAGTTATCGACCAAATGAATGATAATATGTTCACTAAATTTGGTACTTGTTGAAGCATCAAGCACCAACATTTCCTGTAATGACTGAACATAATTATAATCACTCATTACTGCTGAACATTATGTTAGTGTTGATTACTGTTTAATTTATAGCGCTCTTTCAGCTTAACCCTTCCGTGACATTACCGTAACAATTAAAAAGAAATAATTCAAAGTTCAAATCTCAGCAGATATCTATTACGAGGAGCTTAGCAACAAGAAGGATAAAATGCCAAGTACCAACTTTTTCTGCATCCAGGTTAAGGCCAAACATTTCCGCCAACATCTCACTAACGCAGTCATTAAAATCTTTAATCAAGTTCTCCTCTTTAACATTCGGGTTCGTATCGCGATAAAATTCAAGATCAAAGTAGAGATGAGCAGGACGATTTTGTGGTATTAATTCGTAAAATGAAACATTGTGTTGTTTCTTGTACCACTGCCAGAATCGTTCTACTGTCGATACAAGATACTTTCTCTGTCCTGCATAGAATTTTATTAAGTAATTAAAAATGTACTCATCCATATAAATAAATATTAGAAAATAATTCGTGAAGAGACCGCATGCGAGGATTCGAAGAAAAAAAAAAACTATTCCTTTTTAGTCCAGAAAAACGGTGAATCAGTCTCGCCATGCATTCAGATGGCACATAAAAACCGGAATTTTATGTAATTCTGAAATACCATTTGTTTTTACATAACTGAAACCACTCATTCGGCACTAGCCAATTTTGCAAATTTCAAAAGCTATACATAACACTTAGGGAACGAATCTTTTCGTTAAAAGTATATTCACTTTTACCAACCTGGATGATCAGTGGAATATTCGAATGCAAACACTCGTGCCATAGGTCCTTCTTGGTCACACTTTTGTAACGCATCATTCTGTCGTTTGTAAACCACAAAACAACCCAATGAATCTTCGAAAAGACTTCGCTTCTGTTTTTGTTTCTTAATAAGTATCTGTGATTAGAATTCAAAATGATAACATCAGTTTGAGGGATTCAAATTCCTCTTCTGTTATTATATCAACGAGAAGAGCACCTTGTATGAGGTTTGGTAGCATTTACATTTAAAAACGAAAGCCAAAATAAGTTACCAAACAATTACTCAACATTTCAATTTTAATACAATTTAATGTTTTCAGTTCTTCCAGCAAATCTGACAACTTTGAGAAAGGGAATTACCTGCATTTTATTCGAAACAATCTCATCTATATGCTCAGTTTGTTCATCTCTGTCACGCACTCCATAAAACCACGTTTCATTATCATCAACTAAGTTCAGTTTTCCCAAGTTATTCATCCTGCAGCTTCAACTATTTCATTCGACACGGTGTGTCAATTAAACTATCGAATATAAAATATATCTATCGGTTGAAATAAAATGAACAGGGAGCTACGACAGTCAGTGAGAAAGTATTCAAAACAGCACGGGAATCGGCTCAATTACTTATATTTTGTTCTCCCATGCTGTACAAATCAAGAAAATTCTTTAGTAAGTGTTTTATTGCAATGAATGTGTTGTTAAACACAATGAAGAGCGAAACATTGAAAATCTCATGAACAGAAACCAGTTCTTTAAAATTACTGAATTGTCGCTTATTACATATAACCTCGCCCTACGATCTCGAAGTTTCCAATCTTCCTCTTCTCTCAAATTAACTTGATACTGTTCGGTCAGCAACTTCATTTGGAAATTCTTGATTCATATATTTTGAAGTGCTTCTATATGTAAAGAAATTTCATCCCATCAGTAAAAAAGACCCCAAGCATTTGGTGAGTGACTAAAAGTATGAGATTAATTAGTTGGAATTGGTTGAAAGATAAAAGTATTTGGACATAACAAAACAAAGCATAAATTCCTTCTTCACACATTTAGAACTATTCTCACAGTTTATTGAACGTCCATGATTTCATCACATTTGAAAAATCCACACAATAAGCATTTATAACAGTAATGAAAAACGCAATAAAAATCGTACCGGCAATAACAAGCACATTCCAAAATTCTTTAATAAGGTTTTAATTTTAGCAGAACTTTTGGCAAAAATTCTCATAGAAGACAAACTAAGCTGAGATAATGTTAATATGAGGAGCAAACATAACATAACTGATAATCTAAGGTATGAATCTCCCCACGCCATCGCGATCGCGATTAATATACTCGGCATTTGTTACATCCGGCATCTTTTGTTTCATCTTATCCCACATTTCTTGTTCTTCACATTTCTCGAATATATTTGGAAATTGAAAATTGAATCCTTTCCTCTGTAATACTTTTTGCAAAAATAGGATAAAAAACCAAAGTTAAACTAAAAGTTGAAATAAAGGATTAAAACTTTGAACAATTAAATGCTGAATCTTTCATCAACTATCACATACAAACCAATACAAACGCCGATAGTGAATATGATAGTTTGCCCCGAAATACAAGAAAATTTTGAAACAAATTTCGAGTAATGTAATTTCAATTCAACCATTCCATAAAGAGATAATAAGATTGACACTGCAATTACCATAAAAACGTATGCATATTTCTTATCGTCTTCTTTCCACAAGGCTCTTCGCTTTTCTTTATCGAGCGGAAAATCATACGTTATTTGACCGGTTTTTACCTGAAAGCCTGAGATAGCGAAAACGAATAACAAAAGGAATAGACATTTAAAATGCAACTTTAAATAAAACAAACCGACTGAAGCGCTTGGAAAACAGGGAAATTGAAGAAAAAAAGAAAAAGAAATGGTTAAAGCAGAAAAGAAAAGAACAGTTACAGCAGCCAAGCACTGCAGGAAGGATGAACAGCGAATAAAATTTTTGAAATCCGGTAGACCAAAGAAAATTTACCAAGGTGCGCACTTCACGAATTGGGAGATTGTATATTTTCTCCAAATATTCCCTAACATCGTGTCTCGTCATCCTGTATAAAAATTATTCATAGGAATTCAATTATTTAAGAAGTAAACCAATCCTATTATTAAAAAAGTATTATCAAATGCAACAAACCTTTTGTCAACTTCGAATTTAACAACATGTTTAGGTAAACGAACAGGGTAAGGATCGACTACTTTCATCCAGAAGTCAGGCAAAAACACTCGTATGCTCGGATTTCCGGGTTGCCATAAACGATATATTCTCGTTGACATACGACAATGATGGAACTTTAAAGAATGGTTAGTCAATGCTGCGAAATCGGAAGACAAAAGCAGTTCCCGCTGAATTAAAAATCAAAAGAATGTTGAGCTCCCAAAGTAATACTGCTAATAAGCAAAAGAACAAAAGTGGTTTTAAAATATTACAGAATATTCAAAACTGTTCTGGAAAATATTTCGGCATAACAGAATTGCGAAAACTCTTAATGCATTGGAACTAAATCTGGACAAACAACAAAAGTTTATCCCCATAAACCAGCAACAAAATACGACAATATAGCATCTCGGGCACTCTGCTATTACTATCACTGAAACATCTTTCGTTAAGATACAGTGAATCTAGAACTTGAAAAGTACACAATAAAATAACCAAAATTTAGTACTAGATCATAACAAATTCAGGACCTCTTAACATGGAATAATTGGAAAACAGACTCGAAAATATGGCAGAACACAATGTCTGCGAAATGAATAATGAACCATACAGAAAAGAAAAAAGTATCGATCTGCCTTCATTATCCAGTAGCCACCAAATGGTCTCAGAGGTTAACAGATAACATTAGTAATAAGCGCAACAACAAAACAGCAAATCACAAATTAAGATAACATTTGTTAGTTAGCTTTTCAAAATGTAATTTTCAGAATCTAAAAGATCTTAAAAGACCCAAAAATTCACGCGCAATAGCGAGCATTTCAAAAAAGAGAACTGAAAAGATATACGATCTCAAGTGATTACCCCATAAATCAAAAATCAAAATCAACGAATAATTAAACTACGAGTACCATTACATATAACAAGGTTTAACAGTATAAATAATGCAGATGCTATAGAGAGAACAAAACATCTCCCAGAACTTAAAAAATATTTGATACTCAAAACCAGCATAATCAGTTCAAACATAACTGAACATTCAGTGAATTTAATATCAATGACACGATTATCCACAGTATAGAAACAAGTACTAGCTTCTTAAATGAAACTTAAAATGTTTATGTATTTCGCTCAATCCGCCCTGATTACGCTGTTGTTGAGATGATTCTAAAAACTAGGAGAAAAATCACCGTGTTAGATAAATACACGAAAAGTACAGAATTCATTTTAAAAGTTAAAAGAATGAAAGATCACTAGAAATATAAAATGCCATATCTATATTATTCATATTTTATCCACATCCTCTATTCCCGAAATCATAATTCAAAAACAAGAAGTACCTTTTATTGTAAAGAGAAAACCGAACCATCATGTACGACAAATCAAAGACTGAACTATTATAATAAAACTTCGTTTACTTCATACAATAAAACATGAAAACTATATTTTCCACAAACATTGTTCTCTTAATTTACCTTGATTTGAAGACCTATAGTGCAGGTTTTTCTACATGGCTGAGGGGGAGTCTCACGCATAGCAAAAATTTAGAAGAGCACCATTTATGGAGAACAATTCTGATATCACCAACAAACAGAGTAATTTACAGCTCGGTGTGTTTATCAGTTCTTTCATGCCCAGACTTCGTTTGTCCCGTATGATTTTTTGATCTTATATCAAATAATGCCTTTATCTCAGCATCATAATCTTTCCATTCGGGAATAATTCGCATGGCGGAATCAAGTTTAGGTTCCTTCGTTTGGGGATTGTTGCACTAAAAGATAAATAGCATAAAGGTGTCGCAGTTTTAACATAGACGTGGTGAAAGTCCATGTTCCGAGCAAATTTCGCTAAGAGTCAAACAATCTTTTTGGAAAATCACTTGGTCAATAAACAAAACTTCAGCTATCTCCCTGAAGGTATCCATGGAAAAAAATGCTTATAAGAACGAACAGAAAGCAAATAATGAACATATGGGAGATAAAACCAAATTTAAAAGACGTCATTTGCAAATGATTTAAATTTGTCAATTGCAACAGACTGACTAAAAAAAGCCTTATTCAGACTGGCTAAAAATCTTATTCAAATAGAACTAACAACAAACCAAATCAATCGTTTTTGCCTTTTCTTTCGAAGCATCGTCACACCATGTTTCACACCAAAGCCATTCTTGCGGCAACGATTTAATGCGCACTTGGTGGATCATATTATTTGGTAAGTCCTATAGATATGGCAATATTAGGGGAGAAACACCAAATGCTATTTGAATAAAAACCGGTCATAACAGAATTAAGAAAGAAAAAAGTCACCTGGTCAAGATTTGAAAGACTATTCGGATCAGCACTCAGTCCTTGATATTGACCACGTAAGCGATCACCAGCAGCTACCTGACGAAATTTGACCAGATCGATTACGTAAAGTGCACTACAAATTAACAAATTACAAAACAGGTACTAGAAATATAAGGCCCAAAAGAAACGTTAAAAGATGACCTAATATGATATTTGCGACCAGCAAGATGATTAGCCCAGTAACCCTTTTTCCAGAACCTGAAACCATCCATCGATGTTCTGCTATCACAGAATGGAGTGAAACCATATGGAGCACCTCCCAAATCCAACTCCATCAGTTCCATCAAATCTGTCCGAACTATTTGATCCGCGTCAACAAAAATTATTTTCCGTACACCTAACGGAAACAGAACATCCAAGAAAAGTATTTTGTATCTGCAAAGGCATACTCTGTGTCACAATGCAACCAATAAAAAAAGAAGCAAACTAAAAAGGAATACAGTTTTATATACCAGTTTCGATAAACTTTGTTAAAACTTAAGAAATCGTAACAAAACGACCTAATCAGCAATCTAAATGAAATAAATGCATAAAATTAATGTTCCCTCGTTTTTAGTTCGTTTCTAGCACTGTTAAACCTCGCGCGGATTGATCAGTTTTATTCTTCTAATATATCTTACCCCCACATGACGCGCTGCTTTTCAGTTTGTTGATGTAACCAACGTGGCCAACGGTATTCTATAAACTCATAGTTGAAACCGTAATGTTTAGCCATTTGAGGCAATGTTTCCTGGAATAATTAGCTCAGAAACCAACCAAAATATGATTGATTATATTAACTTGTAGTGTGCATATACAAAAATCAACTAACTTTAAAATTAGGTGATAAATAATTTTTAAGTAGCCAGAAATTGACGGGATGTTTCGTATGTTTCATTACGCTCAAAATCATGATTCGCAGGAAACGTTCATATAAATGTCCCGATGCTAACGAAAAAATATTGATGGCATCATGTTTTTCATCACCACTTATACTTCTGGAAAAAAAATTCGAATAAGTTGTGAAAGATTTAAATGGCTAACCTTATTAGCGAATTTTAGGTTCAGACTTCACGATAACGAATAAGCTGGCCTCTAATAAGTCTAACAAAATTCCAGAAATCTACTGGAATTTTTCTAAATAATTTCTAATCTTAGATACGACGTACGTCGTCGATATGCTGCTCCAAATGGAGTGATGGTCCTCACTCTCTCCTTCCGATTTTCCCTCACTTAATAAATTCTCCTTTTCCTTTCCTTTTTTCTTGGCGACACGAACACGAATTGTTCGACCACTGAATGAATCGATTAGCACATTTACTCCGGCCTCATCTTCCGATTCCGTATTTACATGACTGCAGAAACATTTTGCACCATTACAAATAATTAATTTACTACAACATTAACAACTATGTTATAAGTAACCTGCTACTCCTCGCTCCTCTACCCATTAAAATAAATTATTTATAAATTGTTTTGATCGTTAAAATCGCTCACTTTATACTTAAAATTGTAGTTAAAGTCGCTTATCGATTTGCTAGTAATTTCTAACGGAAACGAAAATCATTTATGCATCTTCATATTTCTTACTATTAGATCAAAATACTAAACGATAAAAAAGGTATGCTTTCAGGTAACACAAAACAAACATGAACAATAAAATTAGGTAATGAATTACTTGCCTTACAATGTTATAGATATCCTTCGATTTACCATCACGAAGGTTTAAAATCCAAGCACCCGGATCAGCTTTTAACTGGAAATAGCCCTGAACAAAAGAAGTTATTTATTTTGTGCAAATAAAAGCAATCCTGGAAGAGAAAAAAAAAATAACAAAAGTTAAGTAAACAAATAAAATCCAAAATACTGACAAAACAAAAATGCATTAAAAAAAAAATCAACCAACATTTTTAGGTAGTACTGTAATGTAATAATTACCGCAAAAATCTTTGTTCTTCAATTAAACTACTAAAGAAACTGTTGGACCTGCATAACTTATTTTTTTTCCATCATTCTCAGGTGTTTTCGAAAAACTAAAATTTTTACCAAATTAGCCATTACAATTGTGTCATAACGACTCGGATTAACTAGTGTGCCCAAAGTAAATTGCAGACCACGTGGAGGTGATCCTGTCATATCATCAAAGCAGTGACCCTCCAGAAGGATATGTTCAAGTTCAAATTTGGCAAGCACATTTCCTGGTACCTGTAAAGTCTTCTTTCTTATGCATCAAGTATGTGTCAGTAAATCTGATTTTTACCTTTTACACTGCATATCGCATAACACATGATAAAGCACGCGTATGAAATGTTTATGATGCATGGTGCAAATACTAGTAAACATACGCACTATTGATCTTCCACTATTATATCAGCAACAAGACTTTGAAAAGTGATTAAAAGTAAAAAGCATGCCGTACATTTTCTAGCCTAATGTTGTCTAAATCATAAACGGCATATACTGATTGGACCATCCAAGCGTCAGGTGGAACAACTGCAAGAGTTAACAGCTGTTTGTTTGGTAACGCTGTGAAGCGCGCTTCATATGCAGCATCACTGATACGTCCTGAATTATCGAACATCACCGACGGTTGTAACACGAGACGATAAAACCTATAAATTTATAATTGTAAACTGTTTATTCGGATCCCCACATCAGATAAATCGAAGGAAGTTGAATGCGTTATCAAACAGTTTCAGAAATTACAAAAGATGAATATAATAAACAAAATCCTTAGAATCTTGCAAAGCCAAGAAAGAATTTAACTGGCAAAACTTCCATAAAGTTACCTATCA